ATTTTTCTGGAATTAGTACTTAAACCAAAGTCGGTCAATTAACTCATGCCACATATCGATATGTTCTGAATTTATTTTGTGGGAGCCTAACTCCGGACCGAAACCTTATCTGGCCTAAATGCGCACAATGTATGCATGTACTACGGAGTATCGAGTCCTTACATGGCTCTATAACTCGTGATGCATACATTTACAAAATTTATAGAATTCTTTGCATCATCGATAGAAATTTCTCTGCGTGGAAATACATGCCTCATAGAAATTTTTTGATGTAAGAGCACATGTTTTTGCTTCTATCTAACCTTTCTAACAGTTTGAGTTTCAGAGAAGAGATGAAAAGAAATATATAAAAAGGCAGTATCTCGAATTTATTGTCATTTGTTGCTTTATAGTGATTTTTGTCTTCTGCTACATATACTGATATCCTATAATTAAATTACAAACCATTCTGAAATTTCTTATGAAACTATCTCATCAAGTGAAATCTTTGCACCACTACTCGACTTTTTAAAAAATGCTCCTTTAGATCAAATTACTATCTCCAGAATTTTTCAACAACAGTGGAACTCTTTTAAAATTCAAACTGAAGAAGCGGACATTGAATGTCTTAAGAATCTATTAAGAAAAGTAGAAAATGAAAATATTACCAATGATTGTAAAATTCATCTTAAGTTATTGCAAGACGATAACAAGGTAAATTGTACCTCTAATAATATTTTTATTATATATGAAAATGATGAAAACACACTGTCTCTAGACATTAATTTATGCAGTGCGATTGAGTAAGCGGTATACTACTAGCGATAATCTTTTTCATTGTATTTTTCATGATTATTATTGACAGTAAGGGTTTAGAAACAAACCCCAATAGCCGGCAAATACAGATTCAAAAGTCAGGTTTATCTGATCCAAAGATGATGATTTTGAACTTTATTAACCCAACTTCTATTTTTTGCAGATACGATATAGTCGGAAAGAGCTTATGTCATTAGTAAAAGTGGGACTGTTACGTGGAAAATTCGAAGAACAAATCGATTGGAAAAAAATAGCTTCCAACAACATATCTATCTTAAGAGAAGCAATAAAAGTACGTTACAGTATGATTAGTGAAAGATAAAGAAAGCAATAATTTAATGTATATTTTAAAATTCTAGAAAGAAAATACTCCGGCTCATGACCATCTTTTCAAGAAAATATCTGAAACAAATGTTGATGATTTAACGCCTGATGATCCATTGTGCAATGGTACTGTCGACCTAAGCTCAGATAAATTTCAACTTTCAGAAAGTGACTATGTTGCTCTCGTGGTATGTAGAAATGGTATTAGGCTATATGAATTAATTTCGAGTATCGATTACGGTTGAGATTAATTATCTTACAAACTATTTACAGAAAGAAAAGGCGTGCATAAGAATGTTAAGTAAAGATAATAAAATAAAGAATATTTGTAGTGATTTTGTTGCAAGAAGAAACGAAGTCCAAAAGTTGAAAAAGTTTGTACTATTATCAACGGAAACAGCAAAACATAATCAATGGGTTGAGGAGGCTCATGAAAGGGAACGTATAGCGAAGATTGTTACTGACGTTCTTTTACAGGAGATAAGATTTAACGCACTTCGTAAAATTTCTAGAGGTTCTGAAAATTTTTTCATGGAAATTAT